TTTCTAATTTTTTAATTATTCAAATTAAATCCTTCATCCTAAAATTTCATCCAAAACTAGTAACAATATAATAAAAATGTAAAATATTATTGATTTGTATAAATTAATAAAAAAGTATACACTTTTAAAAAAATAAAGAATAAAATATAATAAAAAAATTTAATTTTTATTTAATTGAGATATATATATATATATTTTATTTTTTGAGTTTGTATAAAGCAATTATATGCTATATCTTAATTATATTTTTATTAATTATTTAATAAAATATTGAGGGTGAGAGACATAATTTGAACAATTAAAAATTAAAAATTTCAAAATAATAAATAATAAATTTAAAATTAAACATAAATAATTAAAACTAAAAAAACTAAAATCACATGGAAATTAAAATATTGAAATTAAAAGTATAAATAAGTCAAAATTAAATATTTATACTTACATTTCAGTATCTTAAAGTCATGACGCTCTTTTAATAAATTAACGGTGGTTACATCCATATTTGTTTGCTATATTAACAATTTCACTTTGATCCGTAATATATGAATATTTTAATGTAATCCCGTTCACTGTTTTGAAAATAATTTTCAGAACACAATGATCACTTAAAATTAAATTATTATAAAATATTTTATTACTTATCTCTTTTATTCCCTTAAAATAAGTGCTTAGTTTTTCAACCCAAATTAAATCTTAACTCTTGAAAATAATTAAATCATGCAGGTTAATTTTAAAGTAAAAAAAAAAAGTGAGAAAAATGCCCTATTTCTCAATTAATTTTTTTTCTCAATTAACGTCTATCTTAATTTAAATTTTTACAAAGCAAGCAGTCATAAAACAAAAAAGGAACATATAACATTTAGATAAACCCTCCTCTTTTTTTTTTTTTACAATTTTGATATCATCACCTTAACCCCTCTTAAATGTTTATTGTCAATTCACGTTTTTTTAAGATAAAATATATGATATTTTTTTATAATTAAAAGAGTTTGATATCCTCTTTTATACATGAAAAAATCTTAATTATTAATTTTATATAAATAGATGATTAAATTAGTAATTTAATTAAAAAATATTAATACACTTTTATTTTTAAGATATTAGAAGAATTACAATTATTAACTTTAAAAAAAATATCTTCTCAAATTTACGGATATTTCAGAAAAATATATATTTTTTATTTACACTGCCTTTTTGTATGTTTTAAAAACAAAATATAAAAATAATTTTTTGGGGGGTAAAATAAAATTTAATTTTCGAAAGGATAGTAAAAAAAATGTACAGAGCTTAATGATCCAATCCAAATTGTTTACCATAAGACCCAGGCCCAACAAGTCATGTTTCACTTGCATTGACTGATACTATGCATTCTTTTCTATTTTGCTATTTTCTACTTCTAAGAGGAGACACTCCATTTTTAGCCTCTCGTTTTCTTTCACCTACGCTTCATTTTGATTCCCAGAGAGCAAATTTTAAGATCGTTTAAATGTTTAGTATCTGGTAATGTTCTGGCTTCATAATATTGATTAATTCCGGTGAAGAATTCACTTAGTTGAAAGATTATTTGAAGTGTATTAAGGTTTTGAACCTGCCTCTAATTCAAGAGTGAGAGAGAGTGATTGGATTAAAAAGTTTTGAGTTGATAATTCATTGAAATGGTTTATTGGTAGGAGTATTTTGACAAACGTTGGTTATTGAAGTGCAGTACAAGTAAGTAACTTAGTCCAATGATTCTTGAAAAAGTGTGTATTTAAGAAAAAGTTGTTTATTGTTGAAAATACTTGAAAAAGGCATGCATCCATGCAAAGTAGTGTATAAGGCACTCAATTGAGAGAAAATATGTGAGAAATTAATATAAGTAATTACTAATTAGTGCTTCCTATGTTGAAAAGAATTGGATTTAACGAGGATATTAATACACCATTAGTAGACTTGTCATTGTCCCTTAATTCAAGACATTTACTGATTAGGTTTATGTCTCCTTTCTATGATCTTTGCCTTGTCCATTTACTTCATTCTATATTTACAATACATAGGATAAATTTTGATCAACAAAAAAGGATGAAAAATATGATAAATATAATATAATAAAATTTAGACAGATTCTTATTTTATATTTACTAAATATCCTTAACTAAATACATCATATTATTTTACATGTATTTTTTTCCCTCTCATCACATCCTCCATTATTTATTTACTTTTTTTTTTTAATTTCTCTATTCATTAAACATCATGATTCATAATCATCCTTTATCTAATAAAAATATACTCAAAGATAATATAATTTTGACTTTTTTTACATTTTTTCTCACATTGCTTTTGATTTTTTTTTTTATAATACTGTTTATCTTTTTTCTAGTATTATTTTTTTCTCTACACTATCCTACAATACTCTTCGTGGACTGATCATTATTGGAGACGATTGAGACATCTGTGTATAATTAATCACAAATTTCCTCCGTGGAGCCCATTTACTAAACTCTTTGGGACAAATCAAATCAATAATTAAGGGCTCCGTGTCCCTGGAATAGGACACATGATACGGTTGTTTTCTATTTGAAGCTGGTTGTCTTTTTCATTAAAAGATGCTCACAAGTCACAAATATATGATCTTGACTTAATTTGTCTTTGTTTGGTAGGAAAAAAAAAAGGTAAAAGAAAGTAATAGATTTATTTAACTTGAATTTATAAATAATTACAAAAACATTATTTTACTAGTTTATTTTATTTCATGGTAAAAAAATATTAACTTATTTCTATACACATCATTAAAGTTTAAAAAAAAAATTTATAATGTTTATAATTATTCATTAAAGCAAAAAAATTACTCAAAAAATAAAATATCATTACTTAGACGTAGTACTGACAGATTCAAATTGTCTATTTTACCTATAGTCAATTATGTTCTTTTAATAAAATTTTATTGATTATACAAATTACTTTTCTTAAGATCATGGGCCTTGTTAATCAGCATGTGAAGAAAGCAAAAAATATATTTTTTAATTAAAAATAAGATTTCTATATATTTTTTTGTTAATTGTTATTTGCTTTTAAAGAAACGAAGTATCGCTAAGAAAATTAAAAACACTATTACTTCATAAAATAATTTTAAATTTGAATTCTCTAAAATAAAATGTGTAAAATAATTTTTTCATATATTTAATTTAAAAAATATTTATGTATAATAAATACTTAAATTTAAATAAAAAATTAAATATGCTTATTTGCTCATTTACCTTGACTTTAGAAAATCTAAATCCAAAAATTTTATTATAGTCACCACACAAATATATTAGTACGGATATTGACATGCCGGTAATGATTGAATATATGTGTAACACATATGAGCCTAATAGAACATTTTGTCTTTACATGTAAGGGTTTAGATTCCTGCAGTCTCTGCATGCAAAGCTTCCCATTCATTTTGAATCCTTTGGGATTATATAGTTTCAACTATTCAGTTAACAATATTTATGTATTTTTTTAATTATAAAATTTTGACATATAATATATTATTAGTGACTGAAATTACATAAATCAGATCACCTAATAATTTTTCGTTGGGTAGAGTTTCTATGTTGTATTTTGAAAGTTAGCTTTTCAGTTGAAGGTCAAAGACTAACTAAAGGGTTTTTTTTTTAATAATATTAATTTTTATTAATCTAATTATTAAATTATGGAATGTATTTTTTTAATCATGTATGTTATGTTACTGCATTTGTATGATATGAAATGAGAAAGGCTCAAATAGGATGAAATACGAAAATTGAGTGGTATTTAATAGGATATTTTTGTAGTTTGTTTGTAATTCAAAAGAGAGATGAAATAAAATTAAGATAATCACCGGAACTAACAATCTTACATTTCATTCCAATGAAGTCAGTAAAAGCATTCAAAATGCTACAAATGATTTACTTTATATATATATATATATATATATAGATAGATAGATTATTTCTGATTTATTAAATAATATGTTGATAATAGTATAATAAATTTAAAATATTTAGATTGAAATATTTTATTATTTTTAATAGAATTTAATTATTTTTCTATTTTCTTTTTTTTTGCTCTTATTTTAAGTCATCCAATTAACACATTTTTTAAATTATATTTCTCATCTTTTTATTTCTTTTCTTTTTACTTTATTCCTCATTCAAACACATATTTAGCCAATATTTATTAACATTATATTGTATATTAAAATAAATTATTTAATAAATTTTTAAATAATTTTAAAAATTCATAAAATTTTATAAACTTGATTTATTGAAAACTCTTACATCAATGTTTGAATTAATAAAAATTGATTTATACAAGATGTTATTAAGCAAAAGAATTTAACTAATTAAAACTTCACTCCTTAGTGAGTAGATTTCCATGGCTGACGATGGACAACAAGCACACAGCCCTTAGTGAGTAGACACAAACAAACATGTGTGTTTGTGTGTCCCAACTCCCAAATAAAAAATTCAGACCTTTGAGTATAGATACCGGCTCTAATCCAGTGTTCTTTTAATAAAAAATTGTTGTCCACTGTATTTAAAAGTATAGCTGTCGTGTATGCTGATGTGATATGCCTTTTTGTTTGGCTCCATTGTTATTGCAATGCGTAATTGATTCTGTTTATGTACATCCCAAATTAATCCAGAGTTTAGTTCCTTAATTTTTGTGAAGTAGTTTTGTTTTGTCACTCGATTCATATTTTACAATTTACATTAATTAAATTAACATCCTAAACCTACATTTACCTATATATTAGTTTCGATTAATAGAAATAAATGCATTGCTCAAGTTAGTAAGACGGGGGAAAAAAAATCAGAAAAGGTATGGGTGTGAACATACCAAAACACAGAAACTCCATCATCTTATTATTTTAACTAAATTCTTACAATTATTGTAAACAAATCAAATAAACAACAAATTCTTATTTCATCAAAGTTTATCATCTGCAAAACATGCTACCGGAACAGTACCCTTTTCTATCTAATTGTTATTCACTTAAAAAGATGTCTATTATCTTGCACTTGAAGGAGTTCTTCAAGCAACTTATTATCCAAGTATTCCAACTCAACAGTATCATCACAACCTTGCATTGCTCCAGGAATGACAAGTCCCTGACCAGAGTAGGAAGAAGAAGAAGAAGAAGGAGGAGGAGGAGGAGACATAGTGAGAGGCATAGGTAAGGAAGAGTTAGGATTAGGAGCTTGATGCTCATTTGGGAAATTGAGAATGGCTCTGTGACCACGAAAATGAAAAGCAGCAGCATCATAAGCCCTTGCAGCTTGCTCAGCAGTATCAAAAGTTCCAAGCCATATACGAGTCCCTTTCCTTGTAGGGTCACGAATCTCTGCCGCAAACTTACCCCATGGCCTCCTTCTAATCCCTCTATACCGAACCTCACCATTTCCATTGCCATTTGAAACTGATCTTCCACCTTCCATTGTACCCTTTGCTTAGAAACTCAAACTAGAAAAGAACCAAAGAGAAAAAGATTATTGCAGAATATGTGTATTTGGTATACTCTTTTAGTTGATAAATTATGTTATTGGATGGGGACAAATGATATAACCAATATTTATGTATGCGTTTTGGGTTAGCCTTGACCTTTGGTCGCATGTGACGGTTTGAATTCAACTCGAATCAATTCCATATAACTATATAATATATCAAATTTAGTGTGTTGAAGTTGACCTCATTAGGTACGAACACAGATGCATGCATGACGAAGACTTGGCGCAACGCTTATTCGCACTTGTCGTGTTGCTGGCCGCGCACGTGGATTCGTTAAGTTCGCTTCTCTGAGTATTTATAAACAATTTTTCACAATAAGATTACATATTCAAGTCATACTAAATAACATGCGTTATTTTCAAATTAATTTTTATTATAAATAAATTTTATTATATCTTTATATTGTCAATATAATAAATATTATTTTTAAATGCTCAAAATTCACTCTACAAGTTAAAATTGACAAATTTGTTCATTTTAAAAAATGTTAACCAGTACTCTAAAATAATTTAAAAAAATCTTTTTAGTAAAAGATATAATACTATACTCTCTGTATTTTTTTCAGTATACTCTTAATATAATTTTTTATTTAATAATTCAATATTATCTTTAAAATAATTATTAGCAGGACCTTTAATTTTAAGTGGAACAGCTGAAGTCTACATTCAAACGTGCAATAAAAGCTATTGTCTGCCAACAAATAGCAGACTTCAGGTAATTAATTGATTTGGATCATTCTCATCATACATTCAGCTTTAAAATACAGTATAGTTTTCCAACAAAATTTTTATTTATTTATTGAAATTTTATTATCCTTATCACTAAAAATTAATATTATACATTATTATTTATTAAAATATTATATTGTAAAATTTATGTTCAAGAAGCATTCACCAATTATCTCTATATAAATAAATATAATTATTGATTTAATATATTGGTCATTAATTTTATGTTTAATAATATAAATATTTCTAGAGTATAAGATACATTTATAATATATAATTTATTTATTGATCTTGATAAATTATTTATTTATTATAAATAAAAATTTACGTGCGCGCCGAGTGTTACTCGGCGTCTTTCAAGTTTCCAACCAAATAAGTGACGTGTGGTTTGCGCGATCATTTTTATCAGACTTTTATTAATTGCGCGATTAAGTACTGTAAAGATTATATAGTTCATCAAGGAATAGTTTTCCCCAAACCACTGTAATTATAAAACACTACAAGGAATGCTCTATTTGGAGATTGCTCAGATTGTGTCACCATAGTCATCTATAATGTAATTGAAACCATGAGATGTAAAAAATGAAAATATTTGAATAAATTTAAACCATAAATGTAGTGTCAATTTATTCTTATCAGATGGGCCTGAGACCCGAGTACATTAATGTTTGTAAGGTCTCCCTAGTTTTGAAGGATTCAGTACTTTGAAGAGATTTCTCTTTTCTTGTAAGGAGGTGAATCATTTTCAAAGGCATTGTCCTTAGCCTTTTTTCAGTATTATAGGGTTCAAATGATTTTGGTCTCTTTTTAGTTAATGTTAGTTTTTCAGGTGTGATACATGTTGGAGGAGATTTGTTTACATGTTTCCTTAAATGACATTGGTGTTTTTACCTAGAATCCTATGAGTGTTAGAACCCAAGTGACTCCTATCATGCGTTCTATAATATTTAGTGGTTGCGAATGACGACAATAACTACAAAGACATTTTAAGGCTTAAATTAATAAAAGAGTTTTATAAGTTTATATGAATATGAGTGAAAGAGATTAAATAATTAAATCTATGCTTAAATTAGTAGAAGAGTTTCACAAGTGTATATAAATATGAGTGAATGAGGCTAGATGATCAAACCTGAGAGGTTAGCGCTTTCTATATTGATTAATTTGTTACGATGAAACAATAAAAAGAATAGAATGTCACATAAATAGAAAATTAATTCCCTTTATAAAATAAGAAAAAGTAAAAATGCTTAATCCTTATAAATGAAGTTTCGTGTTATATATATTTTTAAAAGATCATGGATAATGAGGGGGGGAAATGTTAAATCAAAATCTTTGCAACCACAATGATATATGATTTTGGTTCAAAAGATTATAAACTACTCTTTCTAAAACTTTCCTGATTAGACTCTCAATAATTGTCTTATGGAAATACTGTTTATCAATAATAGTACATAACAATGAACTTTTATATAAGATTAAGCTTTTTACTGTCTTTATAAAAATATTTCGTATTATATTCATTCATTTATAATTTAATATATATCTTTGCACACTAGAGTAGTTTCTTTGTATACATTGGAAAAAATAGTGAATTTTCTTAGATTTTCTTTTTAGTATTTAAATCCACTTTATTCTTATTGTTAAACTCTTAGTTGTCTAGTTAGACTTCAATGCCATCGGTCTTCTACCTTAAATTTCATTTTAATACAATGACAAATGTTAATTAGAAAGGGAAAAAAAAAAGAAATTTAAAACTAATCTTATTAACGTATACTTATCATATTCTTAAAAAAATATTTTTAACATAAATTTTAATATTTTTTTTCATTCTTTATTTCTCTCTTAAAATCACTCATTAACAAAAATTTAATGCAAAATTATGCATAGAATATTCTAGGGCATTATTTATTTTATTTGCAATGACATCAAACCACCTCTTGGCTATTCAATGCTGAGATGACACTTAGCCATGCCATAACTAAACAATTTAGAGATTAGAAAATGTGACTAGAACGGTTAGAAAGTGACTAGAATTTTTTCTTATATAATTTTATGAGTTAAATGATGAATAAAGAATTGATTTATTTCATCTCATTTTAAGTATCAAATGAGGAGAGAAAGAAAAAAATAGTAAAAAAGAGAGTATATATATATATATATATATATATATATATATATATATATATATATCAGTCATATCACTGTTAATCTAATAGAAATATTTCAACGTATTGTTCTCTGTTCAATTTCATCAATCTTCACACATAATTTTCGTTTTGATAAAAAATTATACACTTTCTTCTTACGTGGTATATTTTTTATTTTTTAATATAAAATATCAAGCCATATTATCTATATTTTAAGTGTTGGTATAATATAATATTTCCACCCAAAAAAATGTTAATATAATAATATAATACATTATCATTATAAATTTAAAATATTACAAAATACGTAAATTAATTGGTAAAAATTATTTCAATTTAATCAATAAAATTAATTTCAGTAAAAAATATTTTTGATTTAGAAAAAAATATAAATTCAAAATATTTAAGTTAATGTTTTAAATTTTGTTGGATTAATTTATATTAATAAAAATAATCTTAACAGTGTAGCTTTGGCTGACGCAGAGATGACGCTTTACCACAACAAAAAAAAGCCAATTTAGAGTCTAGAAAATGTGTTCTGAAAATGCCAATGCGCTGTGTCGTTTGCCTGAGCAACGTAATAGGTGACGGCAATGTGACGGCCCAAAGGAATATATAATTCGGTGTCTAATAAATTAAGAACATATTTTATATTTTTATACATATAAAATAATAATTATTAATTTTATATTAATATGTATAATAAATAATACAATTTATGATTTATTTAAAAAATATTAATATTTTTTAATTTATAAAATATTAAAACATTTATAACTGATAATTTTTAAAAAGGTATATTATACTCTGTCAAATTTACAATTATCGTAATATATTACTGTTCTGTAGTCTCAGATGGGATGTAATGTACCATCAAAACTTTTAAATAATAAATAAATGCTTACTGGTTAGATCAAACAAGTTTGCACCTAATATTTACATGAAAATATCTCTACAAACATTTATTAAAGCTTTAAAAATATGGCAATCTTAAAATGGTTAATTAACATTTAGGCTTCTAGCCTTTTTATACATATAAAAACATTTTTTATTTAAAAAAGTCTATATAATACTTTTTATTAAAATTTTAAAAAATTTAATGCATTAGTGTTATATAATGTTATAATATTAAATACATATTTATTATATATAATTTTTTATATATAATATTACACAAATAAAAAAAATTGATACAAGACATATGATCAATTAACTTTCTCTACTCTTAAATTAATCTTAAAATTTCTCAAATAAATTAGGACATTAATATAGAATAAGCAAACTAGATGATTTTATATATTTAGGTCAATCTGGTGCTGGCAACGAATTTTAGTGAGTTAAAAAATATATTTAAATTTAATTTTTTATTTTTTTTAAAAAAAAATTTGGAAGCTTAATGCGCATCCGATTTTAATCTAACTATAAAAATGTGCATTTACTTTAACTTAAAAACTTGAAGTTTAAATTCTATATTTTATGGAGTAGATTCAGATTATTCTAATTAGATAGACTTATTTTTCCAACTTTACATTAATATTACAATAATTAAAATATTTTATTCGACAGAAAATTTACTTTTTAAAATTAATTATTATTTTTGAATTGTTTAATTTTTCCTGTGTTAAAATTAATTTGAAAATGTTAAATTTAATAGTAATTTAATACTTTTATCCTAGAGAAAATAAATGGAAAAAGTATCAAACTACAATGATAAAATTATATTGTGTAAAATAAGCAGTAAATTAGCATAAATTTATATCATTTTCAAACAATTGAGTAATAAAATATTAGAAGAATATTTAAAAAATGATAATTGCAGGGCCATAATGTTTAAATTATTGATAACAGTAATCTCACTCAGTGTATAACATTATGGCATATATATAGACGTCACAATATGGTATCATCATGACCCACTTGGCTGCCCATAATTAAGATTATGCAGATAACAGACTATTATGACTTTAATTGCAATCCAAATTAAATTAATTAATTATCTACTCACAGCCACAGCACATTATTCCATTGTTGACTTTTCTATAGAGCTATAACTTA